CATTCATTCATTCATTTATTCATTTATTCATTCATTCATTCATTCATTCATACATTCATTCATTCATTCTCATTTTCCTCCTCGTCCACATCTTCTAACTCTTCTTCTTCTTCCTCCTCTTCTTCTTCTTCCATTTGCATGTTCAGTAACTATGGAATGAACGATCGAACGAATGAACGAACGAATGAACGAACGAATGAACGAACGAATGAATGAACGAATGAATGAACGAATGAATAAATGAATGAAGGGTATTTAAAAAGAATCGATCTATTAGTCGCCTAAAATCAGGTTAAATAATTGTCAATATTATTTAAAAACTAAATGAATGAATTAATGAATGAACGAAAATCAACCGCCATTTTCTTATCATCATCATCATCGTCTTCTCACTTTCATCCTCATTTCTTCCTCTCTTTCGACCTTGACATCCAGGGCCTCTTGATAATCTATCTCTAGAAATATTTCCTTGTCCAGCTTCTTCAAGGTCGGGATGATCATCAGCACTTCCTGTCTGTAGTTCTCCATCTTCTCTATTGGACAGCCTACAATTGTTAGAATACGCCAATACCATTTACATATAATAAGTTGATGTTGGTATTTTTTATTCGTTCGTTCATTCGTTCGTTCATTCGTTCGTTCATTCGTTCGTTCATTCGTTCGTTCGTTCGTTCATTCGTTCGTTCGTTCATTCGTTCGGTACTAGCCCAGTAACGTTAATGATTTCAGTTGCGTTAATGGAGTGAGGTTTGGTAAGGTATCAAGACGCTTTATCTTATTCTGTCTGTTTTTTTATTGATTGAATAAATGAATGAATGAATTGATGACGGATGGATGAATAAATGAACCAATCACAATCAGCCAACCAATCACCTCCAACCAATCACAATCAACCAACCAATTACCTCAAACCAATCGCAATCAATTAACATATTACGTCCAATCAATCACAACCAATGAACCAACCAATTACGTCAAACCAATCACAACCAACCAGCCCGCCATATACAATCGGCCAGCCAGCCACAACCAATCAGAGAACCTCAAATTAAAGTAGGTCAGATTCTTGAGCGCCACTACTCTCTCATCAATTGACCTGAACTTGTTCTTCCTCAAGTGCAAGATGTCCAAGTTCACCAACGTTTCGACACCCTCAAATGACCTTAACCTATTGTTCGCCTGATATAATGATGATTATGATAATGATGATGGTGGTGGTGGTTATGATTGGGATGGGGATAATGATGATGATGATATGAAGAAGATGATGGTGAGGTAACAACAGTTGTGCTGATTTTCAACTACAGCACCTTTCACCACCACCATCATCATTATCATCACCCCACCATCGTCATCATCATCATCATTACCCCCACCGTCATCATCACCCCCACCATCGTCATCATCACCACCATCGTCATCGTCATCATAACTTACTGCATACAATCTCTTGAGATTCGGACAATTAATGCCAACCAGCGAGGTTAACTTGTTGCCATTCAGCTGCAGTTCTGTTAGGTTCGTCGCCAAACTCAACTTGCAACCGGCCATGCTTCTCAGACGATTAACTGAGTGAATCAGTCAGTGAATGAATGAATAAATGAATGAATTAAAGAAGGAAAAAATGAGTGAATGAGTGACGTTAAACTTGCACCCAGAGTTCTTCTCCAGAGAATGACTGAACGTTTAAACGAACAACAGTTGATTAATTGATTGATAGATTGATTGAGTGATTGATTGAAAGATTGATTGAAAGATTGATTGAGTGATTGATTGAAAGATTAATTGAAAGATTGATTGATTGAGTGATTGATTGAGTGATTGATTGACCGAATGATTGATTAACTGATTAATTAATTGGTTGGTTAAATAAAAATCTAACAGCCAAGATTGAAATGCGTTATAGATGGATGGAAGAACCCTATTGTCAAGTGGATGAAGTTGTTGGAAAAACTTGCCTGTAAATTATGACAATGATGATGATTCATTTTTATCATCATCATCATCGCCATCATCCTCACCATCATCGTTATCATAACCTGCTGAAGATAAAGAAAGGGTTGTAGTTGGAGCATTTGGATGAGGTTTGCATCCATCTTGAGTGTCGTCAGAAAGAGCAGCGCCCTCAGAGGGGTAGTGTCCTTGATCTTGTTCATGGAAAGGTCAACGAAACGTAAGTGAACGTAGTTACTTATCAAGGTCATGTTTGTGAGGTTTCTGTTTGGTGAGGGTGAAATTAATTGGGTCAAAATTATGTGGGTCATGTTTGTGGGGTTTTTGAAATTAAGAGAAAAAAAAATTCTTAATTTGAATCAAGATCATAATCACAATTGTCATTCATCTGCATCGTTCTCATCATCATCATCATCATCGTCGTCGTCGTCATTATAACCCACAAATCGGTGGCCACAAGTTTGACGAACGCGTGCGATAAACCACCGCCGATTTTTTGAAGCAACTGCAGGCAGTCCACCATTATATCAACCCTCAGTGGATTCTCTTTATACTCCTTGTCAAATTATATTTAATATTTCATGATTTATTCATTTAATGATTTGCTCCTTCACTCGTTCATTGATTGATTGATTGATTGATTGATTGATTGATTGATTGATTGATTGATTGATTGATTCGTTCATTCATTCATTCATTCATTCATTCATTCATTCATTCATTCATTCATTCATTCATTCATTCATTCATTCATTCATTCATTCATTCATTCATTCATTCATTCATTCATTCATTCATTCATTCATTCATTCATTCATTCATTCATTCATTCATTCATTCATTCATTCATTCATTCATTCATTCATTCATTCATTCATTCATTCATTCATTCATTCATTCATTCATTCATTCATTCATTCATTCATTCATTCATTCATTCATTCATTCATTCATTCATTCATTCATTCATTCATTCATTCATTCATTCATTCATTCATTCATTCATTCATTCACCCAAAATAGCCGCAAACCTAACAGAGTCCTACCTTAGTGAGGATGTTAGTATCTATCTCATCGTCACTTGGCTCCACAACTGACCCATCATCATCATCATCCTCCCCACCCTCTCCTTCATCATTATCTCCCACCTCCACCTCTCTCTCGTCGTCAGCATCTCTCTCGTCATCTTCAGCGACCCCCACCGGCTGCCTAACTTCTGATTCAGAAGCGCTCCGACTCGCTTCGTCGTCAGACATCAACTAATTTTAATTTATTATCTATAATTATCGTCGGTTTGAGATGTTAATTATTGTAATTATTCCTATTTTGATTAGTTAATTAATTAATAATATTATTGATAGTATATATTTTTTGATATATAATATATATAAATATATTAGGGTGACATTCAAGGAATGTTTTTTTTTCAATTAATATAATTATAAAATTAATGAGTTTATTGATTAATTAAACGCTAAGTGAAATTTAATCAATAAGGTTAATTTGGTAATAATTGAATTTATTTAAATAATTAAATGACGAAATTAATTCCGAAATAAGTTAATTAATCAATTAAATAATTCAATCAGTTGACCGGTAAAATAATTTTCAAATGTTCAGAACCGTCAACAAATAATGCGCGTAGCTATGACAATGACGTAAATTTCAAAAGGATGTGTGTGCGTGTGTGCGTGTGTACGTGTTTGTGTATGTTTGTCTGTGTATGTGTGTGTATGCATGTTTGTTTTTGTATGTGTGGATGTTTGTTTGTCTGTGTGTGTGTGTGTGTTTGTGCGCGTGTCATGGAAGGATGGGGCAGAGAAAGAAAGATGAATTGAACCTAAACGCCCCGGTTTGCGATCGTCTTCTTGTTCTCACCTCTTCTTAACTCGTGTTAAACACTCCTTTGCTAAATCTGCATTTGCTTTTTCTGGCCCTTATCTCTGGAACTCTCTACCTCCTTCTCTGACTACTTCTCCATCACTTACGAAGTTCAGAGCGGATCTCAAGACCCATCTGTTTGCAAAATTCATTGAGGAGCGCTGTTGTTGAACATCGCGGAAATAGCGCTTTATAAACTAACTGATTTTTAATAGCAATACTAGATCCGCCACTGACTGTCAACATCATCAACAACAACATCAACAACAACAACAGCAACAACATCAACAGCAACAACATCAACAGAAACAACATCAACAGAAACAATGACAGCCTCAGTTCTGGAGATGAACGCAACACTGCTTCCATACAAGCCGATTGTAAGAAAAAAACAAAATGAATGACTGAATGAACTAACAAAGAGAAAAAAGGATAGAGAGAGAGAAAGAGAGAGAGAGAGAGAAGAGAAGAGAAGAGAAGAGTGAGTGGACAAGTGAGATGTTGATAAAAAATGAAGAGGACTGTGCGTGCATATATACTGTGTCCAAAGGCCTGCCGTATTGTCGTTACACTATGCAATCAAAACAATATTACTAAATAACATTAATAACAACAACAACAATAACAATATAATAATAATTTTGATAATTATTATAATATAATAATGATAATAATATAATAATAATATAATAATAATATTGAAAATAATTGAATTTTCGGGGCGTTGATTTTATTATTTCTGCCACAACTTGTCCGTTAAGTAGGATGTTTTCGATGTTTTTCTGGTTTTTTACCCTCATCGTCTTCGTCATCATCGTCACCAAAAAATCTGAATAGTCATGAAGAGACCAAATTATATAGCGCTTCATGATAATTTATTATCATTGGTGTTGTTAATGCCCGTCTGGCTGGTGGTGAAAGGGACGACGTCATGCTACGTCTATCCCGCCGGGAAGGTAGACCCGTGCTTGCAAAAAAACTGCACATTCGGCGCTAGGTAATTTATTTTAATTTTGCGGGAAAAATTAATTTGTGGCGGGAAAATTTATTTTTTTTCAATAATTTTAAAGTTATTCAAACTTCGCAAAACAACGGCATCAGTATTACCATTCAACAACATCAGCATGGTGCAAAAACAATGGAAACGTTATATCTTCTACCCCCCCTCAGGTGCACTCCATCGTTGGACGGTAGCATAGGGAGATGCCAATGCCCCACCCACTGTCACTCATACGGCGACAACGTCGGTGCCGGACGTGTCTGTGGTACGGATGGGCGGAGTTATGCTAATGAGTGTGAGATGAGGAGGCACGCCTGTGAGAGGATGAGGAATGTCCAGGTGGCTTACCAGGGAGAGTGTGGTGAGTTTGGCGGGGGATGGGGTCAAGCGGGGTCAAATTATAAAAAAATTAAGGTGGATTTTGGTGAATTTGATTAAATTTAGGTGAATTGCATAAATTTTAAAAAAAATTTTAAAGAAATTTACTGAATTTTGACGAGTAACCTTGTTTAATTAATGCTAATTTTTGTTATAAATAACCTTTCATAGCATAAAGGGATAAAGGTCTAGTGCAGTAATAACAAGTAGTAGCAGTAGTAGCTAAAGTAGTAGTAGTAGCAGTAGTAGCAGCAGTAGAAGTAGTTGTAGTAGAAGTAGTTGTAGTAGTGGTAGTAATGACAGATTTATTACCTCCATGTGTCTGTGTGATGGAGGTGGTTATTGTGGGATTAATTTAGTTTTACGATTCTTTGTAAGCTCCATATCATTATTACTCCAGTGGTAGTAGTAGTAGTAGTAGCAGCAGCAGCAGTAGTAGTAGTAATAGTAGTAGCAGCAGCAGCAGCAGTAAAATAAAATTGAAAACAAAATATCAAAATGAACGGTAATAGACACATTGTAATGAGCTATGGTATGAAAACAACATCATCATCATCATCCTCCTACGCCTCCTCATCATCATCATCATTTAGCATCATCACCATCATCAACTACAACATCAACAACAACAACACCGTCAACAAAATTTTTCAACATTTTTTTTCCAGCACAAACGTTTGCCTGGTTATCCAAATCACTAGTTTGATGTACGTGTTTGAAAAAAAACAAAAAATATCGTCATCATCATCATCATTGCCATCATCATCATCCTCATCATTTCCACCACCATCATCCTCATCGTCGTCTTCACCATCATCAATATATCATTCTTCTTAATACCATGTTTAATAACCAAGTAATTCCTAATGCTAATTGAAAAGCAGTATGTTGTTATTATTATTATTATTATTATTATTCTTGTTTTGGTTATTCATATTATTGTTACGAATTAATAATATTAATCTTTTTCCATGGACCATAGATAAAATAACAATGGGAACGATAATACAATAAATGAAAAACATCCTGTTGTGTATATCTATGGTACTGCGCTACATCTCAGCATCAATAGTGCAGACCTGCTGTGATTTTCATAATTTTATGTGTTTATTTTCTTTGTTTAGTGATTTATCTTTGTTTGTTTGTTTGTTTATTTCTTCTCTATTCATCCCTTTTATATTTCTACATTCATATGTTCATCCATTCTTTCGCTTGTTCGTTCGTGTTTTATTTATTCGTTCATTCGTTCGTTCCATTGTCATTCACTCATTCATTCGTTCGTTCGTTCGTTCGTTCGTTCATTCATTCTTTCATTCATTCGTTTGTTCTTTCATTCGTTCATTTATTCGTTTGTTCGTTCGTTCATTCTTCCGTTCATTCTCTTGTTGTCACATCAAATTTTGATCGTCATCGTAGCGAAAATTTTCACAATCATCAATCGCGAAGTTGACGATGACGACGACGACTATGATGCTGGTGATGACGTCACTATTACGTCATCATCTTCATTATCATCATCATCATCGTCAACACAGATCCTTGCCTTAACCAGGAATGTCCACAATACCAAATATGCAAAGTTGTCAACAACAACAACATCAACAACAACAATAACAACAACATCAACAACAACATCAACAACAACGACAACAACAACATCAACAATAACATCAATAACAACAACATCAACAACAACAGCAAAAAACCATCTTGTACTTGTAACCAGAACTGCAACAATGTAATTAGTACTGGCAGTACTACTAATATCATATTCATCAGCAGTAGTGGCAGCCAAAGAAGTAGTAGTAGTAATAGTAGTAGTAGCAGTAGTAGTAGCAGTGGTGGTGTTAGTGGTAGCAGCGATTTGATTTGTGGCCGCAATGGAAAAGTTTATCTGAATATGTGTTGGTTAGAGTTTGAAGCCTGTCGTTATGATTATGATCTTTCTGGTGGTGATGATGATGATGGCGGTTCCGTCAAAGTGGAGAGATATGGAGAATGCGGTGAGTGCAGTGACCATGATGATGATTATGGTGGTGAGGGTGATGATGATGATGGTGGTGAGGGTGATGATGATGATGGTGTCGAAAACATCCAATCTTTTTTGCAATTAAAAGTGGCAACAACACAATATCTTGCAATAAATCTTATTCTACTACTACTACTACCGCTGCTGCTACTACTACTACTATTACTACTACTACTACTACTACTACTATTACTACTGCTACTACTACTACTACTACTACTACTACTTTTCTGTTATTGTTATAACTAGGCAAAAGTAC